TGCCCCCACACCTGAATTCCCCCTGTGCAGCCTGCCTCCCAGGCCCTGCTGGGAGGCGACTGCCTGATGGGGTTCAGGAGGGTTCAGGAGGACTCAGGAACGCTGGGACTGAGGCTGGCACCAGGGGGTCCCTGGGGCTGTGTCCTTTCTCCTGGGCTGCTGCCTCTCTTTAACTGTGACTCTGAGCCTCAGTGTCCCCATTCGTAAGGTGGGGATGTGGTGGAATTTCAAGGAGATGGGGATAAAGTGCCAGGGTCCGTGGCTGGCACCAACAGGCAGAAGGGATGGCTGGATACCAGGCAGGTCCGCTTTCTCTGGAGGTGAGTGGGAAGCCCACAGCCGCCTTCCCCCAGGGGACCAGGAGGAACCCGGGAAGAGGGATGGATGAGATGACCCAAGAGGGCATCTCGAGGCTAACGGCATCTAGTGGAAGAAGCCCCTTTCCCAAAGGCAGAGGTGTCGGCCACTGAAGAAGTAGCCCTTGTATTTCCTTCTGAGTTTTGCCGGGAGGAGAATGTAGGCATGTCTGGGATCACAGACAGCAAATGTGTGGAATTTGGCAGTTAGGAGAAAAACTGAGAGGAGTGGCCCTCCTTTGGTCAGTGGCGTGGAACTGGCTCTCTCCACCACCACTGTCCCCATCATGGCTCTCTCCACCACCACTGTCCCCATCACACCTCCATCACCATCAGCAGCCTTCATGCTGCCTCCCCCCTGTCCTCACCCCCACTGCCAACACCGCTCCCACCCCCAACTCGGACACCATCCTCCATGGGGCTTCCCTGCGAGCCGAGGTCGAAAGAGCTACTTGCCCCCGCAGGGGAGGGGTAGTGAGCAGATGGCTTTTCTCTTTGTCTGAGCTTCTGAACTCAAGAAATGAGAAACACATCCGGGCCTCTTGACCACACACTACTCTCTCCCTGGGACAGCAGCTTCTATGTTTGTAAATGACAGACTGGCTTCCAGCCTTCACCCGCACTCTGCCTGGAACCCCCAGACACCAGTTCATTGCTCCCAGGCTACCCCCTGTCCCTATTCTCCCCGCTCGGGCCCGAGGTCAGGACATCGCCCCACCCCCTGCACGTTCACAAACAGCATACCGTGCACGCTTGTGCACACGGGGAGGCTCTGTGTTGGGGGGTTCAACATGGGGAGTGTGCTGCAGCGAGGAACACTGAAGCCGAGCCTTAACCCAAGACCATAGGAGGGATGTAGGGGGGATTCAGAACAGCTGGTGCCAGGCTGGGTGGCCCATGAGTGGTGGGTGACCCCAGGCCATGATCCAGCCCTGGGTCCCTCAGCCCTTGCCCCCAAAACCTAAGACCCACAGGCTCTCTGGATGTAAACTGATGCAAGCCTGAGTTCTTAGCACCAGGAGCTGGGCCAGAGAGACCTGGACTCTGCCAAGGAAGGGGAAGAGGGGCATAGTGGGGAGAGGGAGCAGCAGACAGAGTCACCAGGCCAGGAGGAGGATCAGCTGCCTGCACTTCCCCCTTTCAACCCCAGGACACGGGACCTCCCCAGTCAGGGCAGAGACAGATCAAGGGCTCTCTTGGCCCCCAAGCCCAGGGGGCCTGGCGGTGACCTGGACTCTTACTGGGAGTCTGGGTTGGATCTTCCCAGAAGTTCATCAGGCGCACTTCACCCAGTAGGCCCTCCTGTACTCCCTGCTCCCCACCCTCCTGGAGTCCCACTTCCCTCCACCCTTCACTGTGGCCCCCTGGACTTGGTGATCTACTCACTCTCCCCCTGCCACTCTAGGTCTGCGGCCTGGGGCCACTGTCAGTGCCCAGAAGGAGAGGTGCCCATAGCCAGAATAGGAGAGCCATGATCTGATGCTGCCACTACCGCTAACGGGAACAGTTATAGCCACCAGCTCTGCGCCACCCCCACCCATGCCCAGGCTCTCACTGAACCTCACCAACAGCCTTTGGATCATCCTGATTGCAAGGGTTAAGCAACTGTCCTAGACACAGAGCCAGTCAGTGGTGGCAATGGGCCTCGAGCTCCAGTGCTGGCTAGCAGAATCTGCTAGGTGAGGACAGGGTGCAGCTGGAGGGGGGTGGCGAAGGGGGACCTTGCACGCAGGGGAGCTGCCCTTCAAGGCAAGTGGAAATGAACTTGGTGCAGAACTGCCCTCCTTTCCTTGGGTAGGTGCTTGCTGGACTCTGGCTTAGACTCCTCTTGCTGCAGCATGCCGTCACTGGGGGACAGAGAAGTGGGTCCTACAAGTCCAGGGAGGCCAGAGATGGGGCCTCCGTCCCTTTGGAGGAATGGAGGAGTTTGGGGGCCATGGGGGTACTGGAGGCACATCCCTTCCCTTCCCCTGGGCATTCCCAGCCCCACCATGGAAACCAGACTCCAGAGAACAGTGGGTACCTCCTCTTGGCCTCAGAGAGGTAAAGCCAAGAGCAGCAGGCGGATGCTGAGTGTGTGTGTTAGTTCCTGGTCATCACTCAGCCAGCACACCTGTCCCTCTGTCCATCTGTCAAATAGGCCATTTTCAACCCATGACTGCCTGCCCTCAGCCACATCAGTGGACCAGTCTGTCTACTGGGAGGGCTGGTGTGCCAGTCTTTGGAGACTGGTAGAAGCCTCAGTCACTCAGGAGCTTTCCATCAACTGGAAAAAATACGGCGCAGTATCTGTTTGTCTTGAGAGAGATGGAGGTGGGCAGGAGAAGAGGTGGGGACGGGGCCGTGGTGAGGGAGTAAGGATCAGAGGACGTCAGAGGTGGTACCAACAGTGGGTATGGGGCTGGTGGCAGTAATGGTGATGGCAGTGATGGTGTTAATGTTGCCTTCGATGGCGCTGGTGATAGTGGTGATCCAGGGGGTGGTGATCCCTGTGGTGGGGGTGTGGGTCACAGTAGCAACAGCACTGGTGGTGGTGATGGTTGGGTTGGTGGTGATGCTGGTTATAATGCTGGTAATGGTAGTTAGTACTCATGGTGGGAGTGGTGCTGGTGCAGGTGGTGGTGGTGATAGGAGATGGTGATGGTTGTGTTTGGTGTGGTTAGTCAAGGTCATGACGGTGGTGGTGGTGATGGCGGGTGGTGGTTATTGATGGAGGTACTCGCTGTAATGGTGGAAATGGTAGCGAAAGGGAGTGATCATGGGTCCAAGTGAGCAGGGCAGCTACACGGGGACCAGACTCCTCAGCAGCCTGGATCCGCAATGCCAGAGCCCCTTGGATTAGGGCAGGTCCAGTTCTTCCCCCACAACCCCCATCCGGTGAGGCTACTTCTGCCCCAATCTGCTGTAGCTGGGGGAGAATAGAACACATGGGAATCTGCTCCAGCCCTTCCTGGGGTGGGGTGGGGGTCCATAGCCACTGAGCCAGCTGAGATCTCAGGGTGCAACTCAGACTCCAGAGACACGCAGAGGCACAGACCCCCGACAGACACGCCTGTTAAGGACAGCTGCAGGACACACTGGCAGACGCACACACACGTCGACCTTTGCCCAGAACCCCACGTACACACGCGTGTTCCCAGACACTTGAGGCTCACGTCCCCCAAGTACATGCTGGGCAGTCCTCACGTGAGGACGCACAGAGACAGCGCCCCCGGTCAAGCGCGCACCCGCGGCCAAATGGTGAGCGCGGGCCTCTGGACGGCGCGCACGCGCACAGACGCGCACGCGCCTCCGCTAAGTGAAACCAGCGGAACCCGAGCCTGGAGGAGCCAATTGGAGACTCCTTGGCCCTGGAAGCCCTCGCTGCTGCCACTGAGAGACGCGGTCAATTAACTTCACCCTGCAGCCAGGCTCCCTGACCCGCCCCGCCCGGCCAGCCCGCCCCTTCCCCAGCCTCCTTCCTCCCCTGCCTCCCCCTGGCTCTCCGCCCTGCAATGCCCCACTCAGACAGGGGACGGGTCCTGGGACGGCTGACGGGCAGCAGCTCTGCCCGTTGAGGGTCTGAGGGGTCCAGACTCTGCCGTGGGACTGAGGGGTCTAAGGGGACAGACATGGCCCAGCCCCGGGTGTCTGAGGGGACTCAGTCTCACTTAAGGGGGAAGGGGATGTGAGGGATGTAGTAGTCTCTGTAGGTCACACTCATGGAAGTGGCTAGCCTTGGTCACACTGAGCTGTCCCCAGGGCAGGATCCTGCCTTTACTCTGACCCACTTGGAGCTCTGAGTCAGGGGAACACATGTTCAGGGTGAGACACCCCCCACCCCGACGCCCATGATATTCTTGTTCTCTTCGTCAAAATGATGCCAGTGTATCCCGGTGGGTGTCAGGCCGTGCGCGGGGTGTGCAGATTGGAAGGAAGAGAAAGAAGGACATTCCGGAGGGAACAGCAGGAGCGAAGGCCTGTTGGCACTGTCAGAACGCAGGGTCGGCTTCAGGGGAAGGAGCTTTCAGATAAGCAGTGAGATGTGGGTGATTCCCACTCACAACCGGCACAGGAGTGCCTGCCCAGCCAGACCACTTGCCAGCAATTCCTCGGACCTCTAGCTCTTGGGACTGCAAGGGTGGGAGCAGCTGAGGCACTCACCATTCACTGGGGAAAGCAGTGACTGGGGAGAGGGCCAGGATGGAAATTGGTGACTTCCAAGGTCCCCCAGGGTACTAGGGCTTGAAAGAATCCAGGCCTGGTTTATTTCCCCGGAGTTCACCACTCTTTATCCACCCGCTCTCCCCACCAGGTCCCCAACTGACAGGATCCTGTGAAGATCCATCCTGGGACATTCCATCCCTTTCCCATGTACCCTTGGGGAACAGACTGGACAGAGAATAGTAGCCTGCAGGGTTACTAGCGGGCAGGCAGGGGACATCCCCCCTCCCTCCCACCAGGAGGATATCCTGGTGGGACAGTCTCTACCCTTTGGAGCCGCAACTTCTCATCTGTAAAATGGGAGCAACACAAGGCAGAGTTCCCAAATTCTAGACTCAGAGCCTTTGGAAAGGGGGGAATCCATCAGGGAGGCTGGGATGGTTGTGGGACCTGCCAGTGCTCTGGAAAGGCCTGCCTGCAGTCTGACGTTCAACTTGGTAGGTGGATGCAGATGACGTCATGACCAAAGAGGAGCAGATCTTCCTGCTGCACCGCGCCCAGGCCCAGTGCCAGAAGCGGCTCAAAGAAGTCCTGCAGAGGCCAGGTGGGGGCGGAGCCGGGTGGGGCGGGGCCAGAGGAGGAGGGTCCGGGGGCGAGGTCAAGAGAGTGAGGGAGGGGCCCAATGAGGGTGAGAGCCTAGGATGCAGAACCAACCGGCACCAGGAGAGGGGGCTTCCACTTAAAAGGGGGGTGACTTGTGATCAAAGTTAGCAGGCTGAAATGCAGAACCTTCCCTCCCAGGGTGGGATCAGGGAGTAGGAAGGCAGCCACAATCCGAATCAGCCCCAGAGGGCTTAGATCTGGCAAGACACAACAGAATCAGGAGCCCTGAGAGGGGTACACTGGGACCGCTTCCTGGAAGAGGAGGTATCCAAGGCAGGTCCAGAAGAATAAGTAGATCTTTGAAGAAGGCCACCTGGTCAGAGGACAAGGCTGAGGTGTCCAAGGTCGGAGGAATCAAGGGTCCATGGGACTGGACGGGGAGGAGTATAGAGGGGTAGGGATGGTATCTATGACTCTGAGTCATGGTCACTGTCCGGGAGAGAGCATTTGACCTGGGGTTGGGTGGGCTTCTGCACACCAGCGCAGCATCTTCAGGGACCCCTGCCAAGGTCAAGGTGGGAGGGGCACCCGCCTTCTCAGCTCCTGCCCCATCTCCAGCTGGTCTCTTCCTTGAGTCCACTTCCTGGAAGCGGAGATGGGAGCTCATTAGCACTCATCCAGGCCTCTGCCTCCTGTCTGATTAGTCTCATCGATCTGGAAGAGGCCCAGGCGCCGTCAACTGGCCGAGGAGAGCAGTTTCCTGTCTGGAGCTGGCCCCTAGAATGCTGGGGACCTAAGGGCACACAGTGACATACTCTGTAGCACACGGACTTTGCTCATAGTCACAGGCATTCACATGGTCTCTGCAGTCCCCGCCCTGTCCACACTGGCCTCGCTGGTGGCTCTTTGATTCCCATACCCAGCCACATCAGGGTCTGGGGATCAGGTGGGCCCCTGAACTCTGGGTCTTGAACCCAGTGCTCTTCCTAGTTGTGGAAGCCCGGAGGCACCTACGCCCCCTACGCCCCATCCTCCTAGAGCCCCTCTCTTCCTGCTCTACCCCGTCCCGCTGCTCACCTCCCTACTACTGCCCCAGGATCAGGCAGGATAACAGGCACAGCCATTCTAGCCCAACTGAGGTGTCTGCACTCAACTTTGCTTTGTTGCCGCAAACCCTGACCTGGGAGGGCCGGGGCCCTGCTCGGGCTGTCACTGAAGGGGCACAAGTCAGATAACAAGGAAGACTTTTCAGCAAGGTAGAGACCTCAAACAGCTCTCTAATGGAGAGAAAGGCGAGCCCAACTCAGACAGAGAGCCTCCAGGGTCCCTCTGTGGACTCTGGGAACTCCTAGCTCGAGTATCCGAGGGCCGGGAACAGGTAGGTAGACTTGCCTGAACACCCTTGACACCTGCACACTCTTGCTCATGTCGTCCACACCATCAGCTTCCTGAGCTGCACGGAGCCGGTGCCAGGCTTCATTTTCACTGTTGAACCTCTGCTAACATCACCCCTACTGTCCACTTCTGCCCTGCGCCCCCTGGCGGGGCCCTGGCCTCCTGCACGGGCTCTGGCTCTGACGCCTGGGTCGGAGCACATTGCCTCTGTCCTTGTCTTGCCCACACTTACCGTTCAGCCCACTAGCTGGTCCCACACCCGCACGGCGTTCACTCCCAGTTGATCTCCTGTAGACAGTCTCCGTGCTCTCCGCCTACTTCTGCACCCAACAAGAGCTTTACAGTTTGTGAAGCACTTTCTCACCTGTTAGCTCTCCCAACAGCCTGGGCAGGGATCTACCCCACCAGAGAAACGGGGTGCCTCGGAGGCCGGAGCGTACCCTGGGTCTCCTGCCACAGCACTGTTGACAGCCATGACTACCCTGATTTCCCCAGCTGACATAATGGAATCAGACAAAGGATGGGTACCTGCCTCCACATCAGGGAAGCCTAAGAAGGAGAAGGCATCTGGGAAGCTCTACCCTGAGTCCGAGGAGGACAAGGAGGTGCCCACTGGCAGCAGGCACCGAGGTATGTCTGTGCTTCCTCCTGGGCATCCATCTGAGACCCGCTGGGACCCACTCTCCCTGCCGCTCTGGCCTCTGTGTGAACTCATGCTCTTCAGCTCTTGTGGGAAGGAAGAAGTTGTTGCCCCCTCTCCAGGAAAGCAGGGGAGAGGCTGGGAGGACACAGAGCCCACAAGGTATCATGCGCAGGGGGCTGGCAGCTGGATGGCGCCAGATCCCCAGGAGATTTGGACAGAGAACTTGTCCCGTGCTACCCCCACGGGCAGACCCAGGGCTATGGCCCATCCCATGGAGAGAGATGACAGAGAACCTGGGATACAGAGGGACAGGGAGAGGTCCAAAGACAGGGAGAGACAGAGAGGGGACCAGGAGGCATAAACTGAGACCGGGACTTGGTGTGTCAGAGGAGGGTGCACCCAAACACATAGGGTAGTGGGCTGTAGACACAGATCAGGGGAGGAGGGTGGCCACGGAGCAGCAGGGCTGAGACAGTGGGACAAGGAGGGGAGAAGAGAAGAGTGGGAGGGAGATGCAGGGCTGTGTTGTCCCTCAGGAAGGTAAGGAGAGACAAACGCAGAGCCCAGGCTGCAGCCACAGGGCCGGTTTGAACCGGCTGGGTGGGCAGCAGATTCCAGATGGGCCACATCTGGGAGGCTGTGGTCACCCTGTGGCTCCCCAGGGACCAGAGGGAATTGTGGGCCTAGCCAGGCGGGGCTGGGAATATGGTGCCCAGGACAGAGAGCCTTTCACCAAGCTGGGGTGGGTCCAGCCATCAAGGCAGCCTTCCAGGATGGCTGGAGAGTCCTGTGGTTGGAGCCCTGCAGAGAGAACGTAGGGAGCTGGGGGGCGGGGGAGTGGAAGGCAGAAGATTCAGAGGCTGGGGACCCTCCAAGGTCACTTAGTATCTCTGCTGTAAGGCTGGAGTCCCCAAGTAGGATATGTCACCCTGTCTTAAATCCCACAATTACCACTTCGATTTGGGGCATTATACCTCCCCCTACGAGTGATCACTGGAGTCTCAGAGCAGGTGCTTAGGGTGGTCTGGGATGGTGGCGGAAGCATGGGCTGATCTAGTCAATCCTGGCTACCCAGTGAAGAAACTAGAAGTGAGGAAGGTAGACACCTGGGTGAGGTCAGCAGCTCTTCGGGAGCCCAGCTGGGACTGGAAGCTGGACCTCCTGCCTCCAGCCCCGGATCCTGGGCAAGGGTCACATGGAGAGCATTCTCAGCTGAGGGAGTGAGTCTGGGCACTTGCTCTTCTCCAGGGACACCTGGAAGTGGGACCAAGAGCAGAGGAAAAAGAGAGAGGCCTGGCCAGGGGCTGAGTCACCTGAGGAGGGCAGGGCCCTGGGCTATATGACCCTAGCAAATCACATGCCTCTATGGGCCTCCACCATCCAATCTAGAAAATAGGACCAGCGCCAGTACCTGCATACAGGGACTGTGGGTGAATTCTGTGAGGCCAGGGATTCAATTCTATGCAAGACACAGTAGGTAGTAAGGCTCAATACATTCTCTCCAGAACACTCCAGGCCTGAGTTCTCCAGTCCTGGGGTACACCTGTCCCTGAGGGAGCCAGCGACCACGGGTGTGTTCATTCTTCTGGGTCACTAACCATGGACTTGACTGGTGTCCCCCACCTTGTCTGTCTCTGTGGGCACAGGGCGCCCCTGCCTGCCCGAGTGGGACCACATCCTTTGCTGGCCGCTGGGGGCACCAGGTGAGGTGGTGGCCGTTCCTTGTCCCGACTACATTTATGACTTCAATCACAAAGGTAAGGCAGGCTGGAGTAGGGTGGGGACTACAGGGGTGCCAGGACTTGGGGCTCAGGGCTCCAGATCTTTCTGCCTGCCCTGACCCTCCCCATGGGCCTGCAGGCCATGCCTACCGTCGCTGTGACCGCAATGGCAGCTGGGAACTGGTGCCTGGGCATAACCGGACATGGGCCAACTACAGCGAGTGTGTCAAGTTCCTGACCAATGAGACTCGTGAACGGGTGCGAGCTTTTCCCTTCCCCACCCTGATCTGGATAAGGTTACCCCACCCCACCCCACTGGTGGCCCCTGAGCGAGGCCTGACGCCTCCCGCCACCTCAACCTGGCCTCTGACCCTTAACCGGAGTCCCAGGGCTCTGATGGTGTGTCCCCACCGGCACAGGAGGTGTTTGACCGCCTGGGCATGATCTACACCGTGGGCTACTCGGTGTCGCTGGCCTCCCTTACCGTGGCTGTGCTCATCCTGGCCTACTTCAGGTGGGCAGGGCGAGGGGGTGGGGCCGGGTTGGGGGGGCGGGGCCGAGGGGTGCCAGCCCTCCCCTCAGCGCACCCCACAGCGGGGCCCGGCGTCCCTACCTTCCCCGTCCCTGCCCCCGCCCCGCGCACAGCCTGGTTTCCCGACCACCCCCCGCATGTCCCCGGGCCCCCACCCACGGTGTTGTCGCGCGCCCTGCAGGCGGCTGCACTGCACGCGCAACTACATCCACATGCACCTATTCCTGTCCTTCATGCTTCGCGCCGTGAGCATCTTCGTCAAGGACGCGGTGCTCTACTCGGGCGCCACGCTCGATGAGGCCGAGCGCCTCACCGAGGAAGAGCTGCGCGCCATCGCCCAGGCGCCCCCGCCGCCCGCCGCAGCCGCCGCCGGCTACGTGAGTGCCCCCCTCCCGCGGCCGGCGCTCGACTCCGCGCCGCCCCGCGCCGTCCCGCCCCCTCCAGCTCCGCCCCCTCCAGCTCCGCCCCCGCCCCCTGCTGGCCTCCTGCTATCACCGGCGTCCAGCCGCTCGCGGCCACCTCACGGGGTCTCTCCGGTCCCTCGCACCCCTCCTCCGCCTAGCTCCCCAGCCCTGCCGCCAAGGGCTTTGTGACTGTCGCCCTCCTGGCACTTGTATTAGCACTCCTGTCTCAGCGCAGTAGCCCCAACCGCTCCCCCCAAACCCAGTGCCTTTTTGCCCCTGGCAACATCCTCCCCCTGCCTCGGGCTCCTCAGCTCCGCTCTTGACCAGAGCCCGGCCCTGCCTCCCCGCTGGACTAGTGCGACGTGTCTTGTCTCATAGGCAGCCCCCAGCCAGCCCCCAGCCCATCACCCCACTTCCCCAGATGCAGGCCGGCCTTCTGGCTGACACCAGCTGCTCTCCTAGGCGGGCTGCAGGGTAGCTGTGACCTTCTTCCTTTACTTCCTGGCCACCAACTACTACTGGATTCTTGTGGAGGGGCTGTACCTGCATAGCCTCATCTTCATGGCCTTCTTCTCAGAGAAGAAGTACTTGTGGGGCTTCACGGTCTTCGGCTGGGGTACGAGGGCACGGCGGGCAGAGGCACAGGCAAGGGTGGGACCATGGGCAGCAGGGTCAAAGGGGCACTAAGGGTGAGGCACTCACACGGCCTCTCCCGACCTAGACGTGGGGCAGCCAGTGGGTGGCCTGCCCACCTCCTTCTCTGAGTCTGACCCCGTCCCAGGCTCAGGTGCCAGGGCTTGGCCGCGGTCAGCGTTCACCCCTGGGCTCAGCCCGGGGTTGGGGTTCACCTGGAGGCAGATTCACCTGGCACTGGGGCTCAGCCAGGAGAGGTAGGGAGTGCTCTCAGGCCAGGATTCAGCTCAGGATCAGAGTGGGATGGTGGGTCGGAGGTCACGCTAGGGCTGGAGTTGAGGTCTGGGATACTCCCTGCTCCGTGAGCCCTGTTTCCCTACCAGTCCCCTCACCGTGTGGAGCTGTCCACGCCACTGCCACCCGGCCTGCAGGAGCCATGACGCAGAGCTCTCGGCCTTGTCAGGGCTTCAGCAGCCCCTCCGCAGAATGGGTTGCTGGGGCTCTGCACTCCTCCCCCACGGGCTCCGGGATTGAGTTACCGATAATTGTCCATTATTGTTGGCAGCTCCAGAGCTTGGCTGGGCTCCGGGGCAACTGGCCAGACTGCAGAGGGGTAGGCCCAGCAGCTGAAGCCCTCCCTGCACTCAGCACCCAGAAGCTCTCGGGTCAACAGCCCACAGCCCCTTGGCACACACTCTGACCTTGACCTCCCCCACAGCAAGCCCTGGGGTTGGGGGAGACCTGGGCCTGGTCCCAGGAACTGACCTGGACTCTGGAGCTAGAGGGTGTCGGGGTGGGCAGGAAACACACAGATCTGGAGCAACAGAACTTGGTGACACAACAAGGTCACAGCTCTTTTTCCCACCATAAACACGGGTCGCACCCTGCTCCTCCCAATGGTGCACCCGACCCAGAACAAAGTGTGAGGGGGTGTGGGAACCCGGGCTCCCTTCTAGAGGTAGAGCTCACTCAGAGGTACCATGTGTCATCTGAGCTGACTCGGGCCTGGGAACACTGAGATTCCCCTGTGGCTTTCACTCAGACTGGAACGACAACTGTCATTCCACCCAGCCTCATCCATGGGGCTACGACCTTTCAAATTGGGTGTGTGTGTGTGTTGTTGGGGGGGTGGGGACTGCTGGGATAGAAGAATGCTGATACGAGGCCCCTTCCCCATAGGAACTCCCAGAGCAGAGCCTAAAGGGAAGGGAGGAGTGGACCAGGCATGGGGAAGTTAGTGAGGTCCTCCAGCAGGTCTGCACGCGTGGGCAGGAGATGCCAAACCCAGATGAGGGCGGAGGGCTAAAGTGGGTTCTGAGTGTAGGAGCCCCAAGAGGAGGCTGTGGGAGGAGCAGAGCAGCACATGCCAGCATGTGGCTCTGTCACCAAGCAGCCCTTGAGCCCAGGGTGAGGGGGGTCAGGGACAGTGACGGGATCATTTGGGGGTCACTGAGGATGAGAAGAATGGGTCTGGTAGGGTGTGCTGAGGGGAGAGACACCGTGGGTGCTCCCTGCGGTCCCTCACACGCCACCTGCTCTGCACCCACAGGTCTGCCTGCCATCTTCGTGGCTGTGTGGGTCAGCGTGAGAGCCACCCTGGCCAACACCGGGTAGGTCCTGGCGGAGAGGGGGGCACGGGGTTCTGGTACAGGTCAGAAATACGCCTGGCACCCTCTTCCTCCATGAAGCATGGGAAGGGGCTTCCTGTGCCCTGGGCCTGAAGGGACCCAGCTTCGGTTTTCTGTCCAGCCTTCAGCCAGATGCCCTCTCAGGGTCACAGGAGGCTGCCTCAAAAGTAACGTTTTAGGGGGGACTTGGGCCTGGCCACACCCAACACCCCCCCGTCCTTCATCCCTGCCAGCTGTTGTCAGAGCAGACCCGCTCTGGGGCCACTCTGTGGGCAGGCCCGGGGCAGGAGCACAGGGGTGGGAGCTGATGCATCGGCCTCCACCAGGTGCTGGGACTTGAGCTCCGGGAACAAGAAGTGGATCATACAGGTGCCCATCCTGGCCTCCATCGTGGTGAGCAGGGGTGGCTGTAGGGCTGTGGGGGCGGCTCCGCAGGTGCCGGTGACCAGCCCCTGACGGGGACTGCACGGGCTTCCCTGGACCCCAGAGTTGGAGCGCCACAGCCTCATGTCACCCAGTCGGTGGTGGGGGAAGCCTGGGCGGGGCCCTGGGTCCCTGGACCCGCGCCCCCCAACCTGCTATGGTGCACCTCGAGACGCAGCCCTTCCTCCCTCCCTCCCACAGCTCAACTTCATCCTCTTTATCAACATCGTCCGGGTGCTCGCCACCAAGCTGCGGGAGACCAATGCCGGCCGGTGTGACACGCGGCAGCAGTACCGGTGAGCTGCGCCCACCCGGCCTGAGGCTCCTCGGGACACCGGGGTCATCACACCCCAGCACCGTGCACTAAAATAAAGACAGAGGGCCCAAGAATGAGCCTGTGTCGAGGGAAGCACCCGGCTCCTGACTCCCTGGCCGGCCTCACCCAGCAGTCATGGGATCTGCCCTGGTCTCTGGGGCCACCCCAGAGCCAACCTGGGCCGTTCAGGGCTGGGGTCTGCAGGGGATGTGGGGGGCAAACCCAGACCCCTCCTCAAAGAGCTGATTATAGCGAGTCCAGGGGACGGGGGGCAGCAGGTGGCTTCGAGAGGACGGCAGCTCTGCTGAACTCCGAGGAAAGGGCTGCGGGGTGAAGAGGGAAGGCCGGGGGGAAGTGAGTGCCCCTGGAGGGACCAGCAGGTGCAGGCCCCAAGGGCCCTTATGAACACTTTGTCCCAGGTTAACTGGGTCGTCCTCTGCTCTGGCCAGAGCCGCAGGCCCCTTCTTGGCTCCTGGAGCCTAAGAGCTGGGGTCGGGCAGGTGGGTGTGGATAGCACAGTGCCTCCCGGGGAGCGGCGGCTTTTCGCTGAGCCTCCTACCCCTGCTGGCCCAGGAAGCTGCTCAAGTCCACGCTGGTGCTCATGCCGCTCTTCGGTGTCCACTACATTGTGTTCATGGCCACGCCGTACACCGAGGTCTCAGGGACGCTCTGGCACATCCAGATGCACTACGAGATGCTCTTCAACTCCTTCCAGGTGCGCAGGCCTGGCCAATGCCTGGCGGGGGGCGGGGGAGGGCGGCGGGGAGCTGGGCTGGGGCAGCAGGTGCAGCCTCTGGGCCCTGACCCCATGTACCTCTGTCCGTAGGGATTTTTTGTCGCCATCATATACTGTTTCTGCAATGGCGAGGTAAGCGTGGGAGGGGGAGCAGCCCTGGGACAAGGCGGGGGGACACGGAACGGCCAGGGTTCCCCAAATCCAGTCCTTTCATTCTCCTGTCCAGTTCCTCTGCTCCTCTGAGAACAGCCCTGAGGACATTCTGAAGGCAGAGAGTCTTTCCAGATGATTCAGGATGTGCTAGGATTTGCGGGCTCCTCACTCTCTGGCAGAGCCTGCGTCTTCCCAGCCCCACGGGTTGAATGCTCCGTAATCCGGAGCAAACGACTCAGCCACCCCTGGGGCCATTCGAGCCTTGTGGACTCAGGGTGTGTTGGTTGCCTGCAGTGAGGCACCATGTTCTGAGGATGACAGGATTTTGCTTGGCATTGGAATTTTCCAGTAACACCCCACGCCTCTGGTTCCACTGGGTGCAGAGTGTCATAGGGGCAGAGATGCAGGCACGGCTGGGGCTGGGGAGGGGAGACGTGGGGCAGAGGGGTCTACCTGACGCTCCGCCTCCTCTGGGCCATCGCAGGTACAGGCCGAGATCAAGAAATCCTGGAGCCGCTGGACACTGGCACTGGACTTCAAGCGTAAGGCCCGCAGCGGGAGCAGCAGCTACAGCTATGGCCCGATGGTGTCTCACACGAGTGTGACCAATGTAGGCCCCCGCACAGGACTCGGCCTGCCCCTCAGCCCGCGCCTGCTGCCTGCCGCCACCACCGCCACCAACGGCCACCCCCCACTCCCCGGCCACACCAAGCCAGGGGCCCCGACCCTCCAAACCACACCACCTGCCGCGGCTGCTCCCAAGGATGACGGGTTTCTCAATGGCTCCTGCTCGGGGCTGGACGAGGAGGCCTCGGCGCCAGAGCGGCCGCCAGCCCTACTGCAGGAGGAGTGGGAGACGGTCATGTGATCGGGGACCGAGCCAGGGTTGGACCCGTGGGCATAAGGGCTGACAGACGGACCAAGAGATGGCTGGTTGGACGGTTGCCCGCTCAGGGCTAGGGCTGGGAAGACAAAAGAGGAGAAAAAGAAAAAAAAAAAAAAGAAAGAAAGAAAGAAAAGGGAAAAGGAAGCCGTGTGCAGCTTCCTGTGGTCTGAGCTGGGGCTTGGGAGGCCGGGGCTGGGGGTGGGGGTCGTTGGGAGCCATGGAGACGTTCTTGGGTTTCACCTCTGGAGGTGCTCCAGGACCCACGGGCCAGTCCCTGGGGTCCGGGCACAGTCCAGCAGGAAAGACCTGGGAGAGGCCAAGAGTGGCCCCCGTTTGCTGGGGTCACACAGGGGCCCAGCAGAACCATGTGGGAGCTGGGCTACAGCCTCTCCCTGCCACCAGCTCCAGCTGCCGCCTCTGATGCTCCTGCCGAGGCCCCGGGGCAGCGGCGGTGGGGCGGGGGGAGCCCTGGCTCCTGGGCTGACTCTTCACCTGTTATCCCCTCAATGTTCGCCAAGGACCAACAGCAGGTCCCTGGGTCCCTGGCCCTGTTCCAGGCCCCGTCTTTCCTGTCCGGTGGCCATGCTGTGTCCCTTGGGGGCTGGGGCATTCAGGGACTCCACACAGGATCCCCAGCCCCCCCCCCCTGGATCTGACAGGTCTCTGGTCACCAGACTGAGAGGGCAGGGGGCGTGCCGAGGCCATCAAGTGGGACATGGGCTGAGGTCTGTTCTCGGGCCAGGAACTGTGAGGGAGCCAGGCATGGGGGCCTGCAGGACTTGGCACACCTGCTCACGGGGGGTCCGAGACCGCCACTAAGCGCCCCCCTCCAACACCTGCCCGCCGCGTTCCTTGCCCCCTGCCCACCCCAGTCTTGGGCCCTAGGGCACCACAGGCCCCCCTCGCCTGATGCTGGGAACCGGCCCAAAGGCATCCCCACCCCATGCTCTGACCAGAACAAGCTTCCTTCTCAAGCCTGAGGCCAGCCTTGCCCCTGGGCCTGTACCAGCGAGTGACCTTGCCTGGCCCTTCCTTCCCTCATCTCCAGCGCTAAACATTTTGTTCTCTGTGGACTTGGCATCTGGAAAGCGCCCCCCCACCTCGAACAGCACCCCCACCCCACTGGGGACTGGGCGAGGGGTCATGGGGCCGGGACCGTAAACTCAGGCGGTGGGTGGTATAGACATACTCAGAGCAGCCTCAGGCCCAGCCCCACCAGCCCTTCCAGATGGCGAGTAGGGCAAACGATGGCCCAAAGGCCTGGTGCACCCATGGGGTTCCACGGGGTGTGACGTGCTTGGAGCGCTATGAGAGACACGGGCCAGCACCCGCAGGGCCACTGAGCCAGTTTGAGCACCAAGGACTCCCGTGAATGCTGGAAGCTACTGGAAACCGTACAGGAGAGCAGCATTTGAGCCACATTTAGAAGAGTCCCCATGGCATTGGAGAGGTGGGAGGAGGTTACTCAGGCCTCAGGGGAGAGGCTTGTGGGAGGCAGGTAGCAGGCAGGAAGGACCTTGCATGAAGCACTGGCTGGGAGAAGGAGACCCAGGCAGAAAAGATGCCCTCCCATCCCCGTCCCGGGGGTGTCTGTGTGATGCCCTTCTTCAGGCCTCAAAGCTACGGGACCTCTGGAAAACTCATCCCACCCACCCCCCGGGCAGTCCTCGAGGCCTCTAGCTGGCTGAGCCCCGGGGCCCCATTTTCTCACCCAGACTCCTCCTCAGGAGGCTTCTGAAGGAGAGTCCATGAGGCCCGCTCACCTTGAAACACCCATACTGAGTACCCCTAGGACAAGGCTGTCTTTCCCCTCAGTCTATGCGACCCCAGGACAGAGTTGAGCGTCTCCTCTCAAACTGGGTTCCCTCAGGGCAGGGTTGAGCCTCATCCCACAGACCAGGGACCTCCATCCCAGGATAGGGCTGTGCTCACCCCTCAGACTAATACCTCCTAGGACAGGGCCAGGCCTCCCCCTTTCTAGGATGTCCAGGCAGGACTGGACCTTACACCAGTCCAAGGCCCTAGGCCAGGACCCTCTTGCCTTCGACCTGGAGCTCCCAGGCCAGGGCCGGCCTGCCCACTCAGAGAGGCCCCGCGCAGCACCTGGGCCATCCAGGTGTTGGCAGAGGAAGTGGGAGCCCTCAGGGGGCCTGGCAGGCAGTCAGGACCCTGTTTGCCTTGAGCAGAGGCTAAAACCAGGTGGTCACTTCTCCCTTCAAGGCCTCCCAGCCCAGCCAAGCCACAGGGAACACGTAAACACCAGCCGAGCTGGGCGCAGGCAGGCAGGGCGGAGGACACCGAGAGACCCCAGCTCCTCAGCCTCCTTCGCCAGGGTGTCTGGAACCTCATGGGCTGCCCTGAACCCCAAATGGGGCCAGTAAGGCGGGCCTCGGTTCCCACCTGCCTTGGGCATGTGAACAGGCTCTGCCCTCTCTGGCCGGTCCTGTCTACACCCAGACCGGGAGAGGGGCCTCTGGAGACCCTTGGAAGGAACATAACCGGCTGGTGGTGCCTGGAACCCGAGGCCAGGCCCCCAGGCTGGATAAGAGCCTAGTTCTCAGCTCAGAACAGGGCCTCTGGGCGTCCAGCAGCATCAGAGAGGTGGCCCTGGCCACCGTCAACCTGCAAGCCGAGAACAAAGATGGAGCCGGGCCCCACGCACCCCCCCAGAGTGCACAGGCTGTGAGAGCCCACAGCCTCCCGCCCGAACGCTGGCGAGGTGGGAGGGAGCAGCACAGACACGGGGGAAAGGGGACTGAGTTCTCTGGAAGTTCAGAAGGGACATGACCCTGCCTTAGGGGACCTTAAGGGGGACACAGCCCTCCTCTGGTGGTGTGTGAGGGGTCATGACCCTGCCCAGGGGCCTGAGAGGGTCCAGGTTCTGCTTTGGCTGTTAGAAGAGGTCTGGCTGGCTGAGGGTTCCATCAGAGGGGCAGGATCTGTGGGCCTTGCTGCGAGACTCCGGCACGCAGGCTGGGTTGGGTCCAGCGGCTTGTCCCTTGTGCTTTCTCAGCCAATTTCGGGAGAATGATTCCAGCCTGAGGCTCCCATGGCCAACGGCAACAAGCCTTGGCTGGGCCAGAAGAGGGGACTTCGGAGCCAAGCAGGGGCCTGGACCGTGGCTGGCTCCCGGGGTGTGCTGTGTGACACTGGGCTAGCGCCTTCCCTCTCTGAGCCTCAGCTTCTCTTCTGATGTCAGGCCCCTGCCCGGGTCTCCTGGCCTCTGTGGGCTCAGTATCCCATCTTGCTCCTTAGTGGACCCCTGGGACACAAGGCCAGGACATGCTCAGTGACAGGTTCCCTCCTTCTTCAGTGTCACAGTCATGCAGGCTGTGGGGGCTGAGAGGTGGCGGGCATGGATTCTGGGCAACGATTCCCTGTCCAAGCGCTGAGGAGAGGAGCCCAGGTCTGGGAAGCAGTGGAGGCGGGAGACCAGGTTCCCACCTTTCATGTTGGCCTCAGCTTTCCAAATCTGTGGGTGGGGGAGGGAAGACAGCTGCATTAATTATGCACCTACTGTTTAGGCCCCCTGCCACCCCAGCAGCTTCAGTGGGGATAAAGAGGTTTCAATCATCCTATCGTCCTAAAGGCTTCAGGTCACAGTCTCAGAAGGATCCACTGGGCGCGGGTGGTGAGGGGGCAGATGAGCAACCCCCATGGGCTCCTGCTGGCTTTGCTTCCCTGTGGGGAGGAGGGGACCAGGCCGGGCTGAGAAGATGGGGTTCAGGGCACGGGAGGGCAGGCTTGTGGTCACCCCAACCTCTCTTCCCAGAGCTCCAGGACCTGTGGCTGCAAACTCTTCCCCTTCTCTGCTCCTCCCACTCCCCTTGGCTCTGCTCTCCCAGCAGCCCACGCCAGGAGACCCTCTCCTGGGGACCCTCTCCCCAGCAGGTGACAGGCTTTGCGCCCCCACCAAGCTCGCCCATCTCAGTGAGACAGAGGGATGTGTTGTGGAGCCGCTAGGTGTGTCTGTTTATTTGTATTATGTATGCATATTTGTGTCTGTGTATTTATTTGTATTTATGCATGTATATTTCTGTGTGTGTCTTTTCAAATATGTGTGTGTTGTGTCCGCTGTCATTGGTGGTTCTACCCGTGTGCATACCTGTGTCTTTGTGTGTGCGTACAGATGTGGATGTCCGTTTGCGCGTCTCTGTGTGCGACTGTATTGTGTATCAGTGTGCCTGTTTGTACTTGTTTGTATGGCTGTGTATATGTGTGTGTCTATCTGTGTGTGTGCATGTGTGTGTGTCTGTGTGGACCTGTGGTCTGAAAACGCCGCCTGTGGGTGGAATTTGGCCCAGGGACGTGTTTGGCTTGGCCCTTACAGTATTTTCAACATCTTGAGCCAACATTTAAAAATCAGGATATTTCACATAAAAATTCAGCTTTCCAGTTTCTCTTAAAAATTCAGAAGCCCTGGCAGCCCTGGGCCGCGTTCCCATGAGGCTACTCTCCTCCAGAGCTCATGGGGGCTGCCCATCCTCCCACCCCCTCACCGCTTCTCTCGCTGACCAGCACCTTAGGGATGACTGAGTTTGTGACCCCAGAGTGTGTGGTCACAATGGCGTGTAAGTCGAGCTGTCAGGGAACGTGTGCACAAACGGAGTCCACACCAGGGGGTGTGTACTTGGGATGGCATATGTGTGCAGGAGGCCATTCTGAGTGTGTGTGGGACATGGGGGGGCCTGCTCGTGCAGGGGTGGGTGTAAAGCACAGTGCCTGTGGGCGTATGTGGGAGAGCGCGTGGGTGCACACGTGTGTGTGCGTGGGGGGTGTGCGTGGCTGTATCCATGGCCATGTGGAGTGTGTGGGCCCCTGTGGTCTGGCGTGCTCTGCACAGGGGCCTCTTCCGGCCTTTGATGGGGAATTGGATTCCCGGCTTCTGGCCGGGCTGCCTTGTGGGATTTATTTCTGTCTCAGTGCCGACCAGAGGCCTGAGTAATGGGAACATTTAGAGAAAACCAGTAAATACATACAGAAGGGGTAGGCTGGCCGGGAAACTCTGCTGGACACCCCTTCCCAGCCCACAGCTGCCAGCTGCCAGAGGCCAAGGCCAGGCCTGAGCCAGGGAGGGAAGCAGCCAGGGAGGGAAGGACCTGGCACACACACTCACTCCTGCTCTGTGGAATGCTCACGAAT